AGAGCCATGCAGCTGGGGAAAGGTTGACCTTCAGACAGAAAATGCAAGAAACATTATTCATCTGAAACTTTAGCACTCCTTCCTGAAAACCCACTAAGCAATTTGGTACTCTAAAGATATCCATGAAGAAAGGGCCTAATGAGAAAGTTTTCTTTCTGCCGAAATTCACAAAGAAGGTGGTTTTCAATGTCAGTGAGCTGTATCATAATGCTGAACACCAATGCCGGTGCATAAAACCACAGTTTATAGCTGTACAGACACAGGTCAGATGTGTGCAGTTTTCAGGATTAGTTGTTTTAGGACAGTCATATTATTTAGGGTTGGGGAAGTCTGAGTTTAAGGAAAATATTGTCTCAAAATAGAATTAAAATGAAATGCAGCATCCGGGAGGGTATGTGTGAGATATCCAAGTAACTGCTGATTAATTTTAAACCTCTTGTATTTTGGTGTTAGACCACACAAAAGCTTTCAGCACAAAAGTGGGATGGTTTTGTTTTGTTTTGCTTTGGTTTTAATTTGTGAGCACCAGAAACAGCGTTTGTGAAGAAAGTGATAAATTAAGAGCAGGACACTCAAGATGACCACATAGATACAATCACACATGGGACCAAGCTGAATCTGTCTGTAGATCCTGCAGACCAATTCCATTCCTAGTGCAGATCCTCATGATAGTCTCTACCTGGCAGGTGGTGATGCTGTAAGACACAACAGGGGATCTTTTGCAAGCTCCGCTATTACTTAGGCTTCCTTACTCCTCCAAGGTATACTCGAATACATTTACAACTATGCTTAAAAGTCTTAGCATAAGTCATGAAAACTGAATGGCACACAAAAATTAACCCAGTCTGGTTGGGGAGGCTCTATCTTTAGTTATTTATCATGTTTGTTCATGTAATGAATATTGCCAATTAGTAACTCATTTGCAGTAGGTCTCCTAGTCATTAGCATGAATTAGCAAGGTTTTGTTGGGGGAATGACTCAAACATTAAATAAAAATCCTGTATCATTCAAAACCTCAAGGGTACTCTGCGGTGAGACCCTTTATGGAAATCAGACTGCTCAGGTTCATCCCCAGTCTCTCAGCCCCTGCTGTGACAGTGTGGTGGATGCTGTTTTCATCTCTTTAAGCTTCATAACCCAATTCCTGAGCAATATCCACCTCCTCCAGAGGATAGCAGGCTGGGTCAGTGCTGGTGTACTCCATCCCTCTCAGGCAGGCCAAGTGCATGCCAGCAGAGGCTGTGTATCCCAGGACCAGGCAAGGCTCCTCTCTCCATAGGTAGGCTCTGGTAAATGGGGCTTTGTGGTGTTGATTCGCACACAGTTTTCTGCAGCTCTGTATTTATTTTTCTCTTGGTGCACACAATTCATGTGTTTAATGCAGATTGTTTATAGCAAGGACAGAGGATTACAGTCCTTAAATCAAAGGCAATGTTGGTGTAATTATAAGCGCAGGCTGGTGTGGCAAAGTGTCTGTAGGGAGAGGCTGTCAAAGGAGAAGAGCATCCAAAATGTAGTAACCTCAAAAATCCTGGCTAATCAGTTTTCTGACGGGAGCAATCTGTTTCCCAGGTATTATTATTATATGGGGACTTTAAAGATAATAAATAACAATAATAGTCTAGTATAAGGAAGGAAAGAAAAGGGCAAATGCCATTTACCTCGGAAACTGTGGCTGCTCACTGGAGTTCTCCCAGGAATGTAATTTTCCTTAGCCCCTGCAGAGGACTTGATCCATGACAACACCAAGAACATCCTGGGTGCTGTGGTGTAAGCAACAAGATTGCCTTGAGTGGTGCTTTCATTAACATAGAGACATGGCCTGCAGAAACTATGTACCGCAGGGCAAGCATCCAGAGCCAGAGAGCTGTTCTCTGTGCTGTTGCCTGGGACCCATGGTCCCTGTGGAGTGCCACATTCCTTGGGAATGAGGGCAGGTGATACACCACTTTCAGCATTCTGGTGCACCTCTGGACATTTACTTAAACCAAAGCAAAGAAGGGCTTGCATAAGTAAGCTTTGCAGAGCTGTACAGGGTGTGAAGGCTTCTCTCCTGCAACAAGGCAGCCTGGCTAACGGACCCTGGCTAACGTATTATCAGCAGCATTTGAGTAATAGACTGCTCATTTAGTTTTAATACATTTTGCATAGAGAGCAATCAGCCTTCATCAGTCTTAGAGATGAATTGGCTTAGCCAGCTAAATTCTAAAGATATTAGTCTGACAGCAGCCACATAAATCATAACATTTTCTTAATGATGGTAAAATTAAAATATACTCTTGCTTTGAGAAAGCAATGAAGCCTTCCTGTTTGCAGGCCAGATCATCCTGCCTGAATTAAAAGGAAGCTTAATTGATGTGTTTTTGAACTAAACTCACAACCCCACTCCTGAGCATGTCTTGTGTTCCTTTCTTTGAAGTTAAATTAATTTGCCCTTCCTCTCCCTATTCCATCTTCTAATCTTCAGCAGTGTCAGTGAAGACCTTGGCTTGGTGTTCATTGACCAAGCTCCTATGGGAAGTGAGCAGGACATACACAGCATCACAGCTGAAGGCTTTGCCAGGTTAATCGTTTGTGTTGCCAGTAGTTCTTTGAGCTTATGCTTTTCCTCTAACCAGCAGAGGAAAGAGACCACAAGACCTCCTGTCTGTCCACCTAGCCTAGTCAAGCGTGACCTTTTCCTATTTCTTGTCCATTGCTCCTGAAGCTGGTTTGAGATCCAGCATGTTTTTGCCAGTTAAAGCTAGCACAATCTGACTAGGTCAGCTCATACATTGCCTAGCTGCAGCAGAGCTGGGTACCTTGCTTGTCTTAAATGTTCTGTGTGATTCCATGTGGGGCAGAACAGTTATTTGGACCAAGGCCTGTTGCTCTCAGGAATGTCTTCCTAGTGCTCCAGGCTAACCATTCTGTCTCCTGCTAAGCTGTGCTGACTGACCTTTTCTTCCTTGGCATCCTGCTGCTAGATGCAGCAAGGCACCCAGCAAATAACCAGGACCATCTCCTGTCCCAGTGCCTTGTGTTAGGGCTCTACCCTGTCCTGCTGCTTTTCAGCAGAGCCTCTACAGAGTCTGTGCCATATAGCTTCTCCGAAAACCTACTTTAGGAAGGTTCTGCTCACGTTAACATTCTGTACCAAAGACTTGACTGAAATCCAAATATCTGATACCTTTGGCAGCCTTTCTTCTGCTAAGACAGTAATTTTGTGGTCAACTGTAAAGATTCAGTTTCTAAAGCATGAAGTTCATTGCTATGTAGAAACCCCAGCTCTAAGCTAGAGACCCTCAGGGTTTAAGAAAGGACGGAGGTATCCTTCAGTCCTTACCTGTGCTATTTGCATGAGGGAAGGTTTTCCCATTTCCCTTTTTGCATCTTCTGGATCAGGTTGATTTATTAGAAATCCTCTGATAGTCCTCTCCATCATCTGCAGGGTCTTAACTGTGGTGCTAATATCTGGCAAAAGGAGTAGGTGTTACTTATTGTGTACTGTGAAATGCTCATTCCCCTGGGCTGCTCTGTGGCATCCATACTCTGGTTTCTTGGCTGAAACGATGTGGTGGAAAAGGCAGATTTCCCTAGCAGGTGCTGCATTGGGGTTATGGAGCTGCTTATGGGGCATCAACCAAAGCTGAGTTCAGGTTAGTGCTTTCGCCATTTGGGTATGTGCTCCTGCCTTCAAAGGGATTAAAAAGTTCCAGATGGTGTCTCCTGTTGTTTTTGTGTTGGGGCAGTGAACACCATGGAAAAGATGGGCCTAATTTGGGAGGCTGACATTGGGCTGTCTGTTTTTGGGAGTTTCAACCTGTGGGTTAAAGGAACTAAGGTGACCATGGTACCCTCCAGTGAGCTCACCTCCGAGGCCAGTTTTAAGGTGCAGTAAAGAATGGCTGTCCTTCAGGTCATTCCCAGTCAAACGTTGCAGGCTTGTGGTTGGTTTGGCCAAGAATGGGGCCATTGCTCAGTAAGTGGTGTGCAGGATGGCTGCAGGATGCTCTTACCTCTTGGCTGTTCACTGACTTGCCAGGCAGCTTGGGCTGGTGATGGTGATCCCTGGGTGGAGGTGTAAGTTCACCTTCACAGGGCTGGATATGAAGGGACAGCCCACAGGTGTGTGCAGTAAGGTGTTTGACACTGTGGTGTTGAGAATCATTTCTTTCCTGGACTGTCCTCTGGCATTGCTGAGGAAGGAAAGTGCTTTCATTCGTTCTTGGATCTATCCACAGGGCTTGGAAACCTGTTCTCCCTGGTACATTGTGCCAGCTGCGTTTGTGCTGCTTGTAATCTAATAAATGCTTGGTCTGAGCAGCTAGGACTCCTGCTAGAGCCCAAATGAATGCAGAGGAAGGACCCTGCTAAGTGTACGCATTCTTCCTCTCCTGGCCAGCTCCGATTCCCTTTCATAGCTCACATCTGATGCTTCCTCTCTCACCTAGCCCCTTAGCTCCGATGTAAATGTGTGTTCACACTTCCGCCAGTCAAGTAACTGTGCTCTCTCTGTCTCTCCCCTTTGTTACAAAGCCTGCTCTGTAAATGAATCCCACAGGTCTGGGGCTCAGCAGGTAAAAGGAGAAGTGAGTCTGTTAGCGCATGAGTCTAATCAGGCCGGCTAAAGCGAATAAAGTAGGGCAGCATTGCACATTAGCCGCTGTGTAAATGAGCCCTTTGATGGGCTGGGCACCGCGGGAGAGGGTTTGAAGCCAAGAAGAACTTTTGTTGTTAATTCAGTGACACATGGAAACTGTAAAACAGCGTGTCTTGCACACACACGAGAGGGAAAATAAAAGCCCTCACGACCGGGCTTTTCAATACCTGCCCTCGGACCTAGTCTGAAAACTTTCAGCCCCTGTCTCCCTCTCTTACCACTTGATTTTCCTTTCTCTCCCTTTCTTTTTTTGTTCCCCCTGCACTATAAAAAGAAAAGCTCTCTTGCCTTTTGAACTAGACGGCTGTGAGTGAGGGCTATCTCTGAGCTGTGTGGCTCTGTTACCTTTGTGTTCCAGATGAAACTGCCAAGCTCGGTGGGACAGAAGAAGATTAAAGCCCTGGAGCAGATGCTGATGGAACTCGGAGTAGGTGAGTAAAGGGGGCACGCGAGAGAGAAAGAGACACACAGAGCTAGCCTTTGTTCTCGAAATGGGCTATTTTTTCCCCTAGTAATACAGCCAGTTTCTTGAATAACAGTATGTGAATGGTTTTTAAAATATTTTATGTGTCTAAAAAAAAAAAGGAAAGAGAGGGTAAAAGCCAGAACAAGATGCACAGGGTTTTTTATTTTTTTTCTCCCAGTAGAAAAATGTTTTAAAAGAGCCTTTGTTTCTCTCTTGTTTGGGCCTTTTTAACCATCAAGAGAGGCAGCACAGTATTAGGAAGGCAAATCTCAGCCTTGCAGGGAGAGGTACTTCTAAGTGTGTTAGTGACCGCGGCACACACATTGTTCAGGGCTGCCCTGTCTTGCTTTCAAGCTTCGTTTCCTCTTAATTTACTGCTCACAGTGGCAAGTCCAAAATGCATCTGGGACTGTTCATCCCCCCTTTATAGGTTGCGTGCTGTGTGAAAATCTGGAGCATCTCTGCCGAAGGGCGAGTAAACACACAGCCCTCACTCTTGAACTCCGGTGTCTTAGCAGCAGAAAGAAGGGTTCACTTAACAGGTGCAGTACCCAGTCATAGCTAGAGGGAAAGAGGTGCAGCCCGTGGCTAGCTGCTGCCCTCCATGCAGTGGGTACAGTTTGCAGGTGCCACAGGTCTCAGTGTGCACTGCCCCTTGACTGGACACCTTTTCCCCCCACTGTGGCTAGGGAGGGATTTTTAAACACAGAAAAAGAAGAAAAGGAAGGAAAAAACCCCCAAACCGTGACCTTATTGGTGATTTAAAAGAGATTCCCGAGCCTGCTCCCAGCATTGACTGTTAACTCTTGTTAGTTTTTTGGGCCAACTGGTTTATGGCTTGATATGTTGTCTCAGAGACACTACAGTTCTGAAGGCCTCCTGTGGCTGGTGAAAGTGGCTCAACCAGGGTGGTTTTCCCTTTCTGCTTTAAAACTAAAGGACTTACCATCTTTGCTTGCTAGGGAAGCCTTGGGGAAGGATCTGAGTGCTTCTTAGAGCTCACTTTCTATGAGGGTAAGGAGGGGTTCCTGACTCCCCACTCCTGCCTTACAAAACACGTGTATCCTCAGGGCTTCCTGGTGCTCCAGCCCTGCTGTGCCTTAGAATCCATGTGGTGGGAGCAAGGCTTCTGGTATTTCTTCGTGGGAGCGAATGGGCAGCCAGGACCTTTCTAGGGATCTTCTATTGTAGGGTTGCAGGTCTGGGTGTTTAACAGAACCCCCTTTTTTTCCTCCCTAGACCTCAACCCGATGCCCACAGAGGAGATTGTGCAGATGTTCAATGAGCTGCGGAGCGACCTGGTGCTGCTGTATGAGCTGAAGCAAGCCTTTGCCAACTGCGAATATGAGCTGCAGATGTTACGGCACCGCTACGAGGCCCTGGCCAAAGCTGGTAGTATTGGCCCCCTCACTGCAGAAGGCGCCCATCCAGATGGCCAGGCAGGGCTCGGCATCGAGGAGGTCAAGGGAGATACCAAGGACCAGATCATTGATGTAGTAGGAGCACCCCTGACCCCCAACTCGGTGAGAAGGAAGGTTGTGGGGGCAGAACAGGGAGCACTCAGGTCTCCGACGCAGATGCCCTGACAAGCGCTGGGGATGCTGCCCTGCTCTCCCTCCAGGCATGCGCGTCCAAGGGAGCACAGCACGCCTGTTTACCCCAAGTCCCAGTGCTGCTCTCTGGGCTTGTCTCCTGTGCTGGACAGTGTTCTTGGTGCTACAGGTGGGGTTGGCAGGGCTTTCTACATCCTGCATGCAGGCAGATGGCTTGACGTGGGTGCCACCGTGGACCAAAGCAGCAAGGCTTTGGGTGACGAGAGCTTGCCCTAGGGCAGCAGCAGTGATTCCATTACAGCTGCAGGCCTGAGGCATTTTCCTTCTAGACACAGCTCCATAAGGGTTTCTCAGAGGGAAGTGAGTGGGAAAAGCAGTCTTGAAATGATGAGCCATGACTTGCCCAAGTACCTGGCATCAAGCAGTAGTTCTGCCTGAAGCAGGAGGCTTGGGAAGGAGAGAGGTGTTTGAAGAGCAAAGGGGTGTTTTTATACCCTGCTTCCAGTGCTGTGAAAGGAAAGCCAGACCTTAGGGGTTCTTCCACTGTGAGCCCTGTGACAGTGTCCTGTGCATGTACCTCTGCAGGATGTGAATTACCAGCCTCTCCTCCCTGCCTCCATGAGGGCAGGCTGCCCAACCCCTCACCACTGCCTCAGGGCCAAGGGTATGCCGGGGATCAGCTGAGGTTGCTTTCCCCTCTGTGCAGTCCCCTGGCACAGCTGAGCTGAACTGCCTGGCAAAAGCTGCCCGTCTCCACACAGTGGCATCCCCGACGCCTCAGAGATACTGCCCCTGGTAGTGGCACAGACCTTTACTTTCTAAACTGTATAATGTATTGCAGGATATTGAGAACACCTAATCGGCAGAGGTGACACCTTAGTCTGGACTTGAGTAATGTCCTGTTTGATTGTGACAATATGGAGTCATAAGGAAGCGTTCCACTGAGACAGGTTCATGTTTGCAAAGGAGTCTTCTGAATTTTTTTCTCCCCCTTACTGCTTTCAGTCTGAAATCTTACCCCTCCCTGCGGTCCAGAGTGTCCTGGGTTGAAAGCTTGTCGGGCTGATTCACAACACACTTGCTCTCCCTTGAGACTTTGCTTGTTGCGAAGCTGGAAGAGGTGGTGGTGGTGGTGGCCATGGCTGCAGGAGGAGGGAGCCCACATGTGTGGTTTTGACCACCTTGATCCTCAATGCCACCTCCTGGAGTTGGAAACAAAGGGGTGGGCCCAGGCAGCACAGAGAGGGTTAAACTGACCTGGTCTCTGACATATTTGAAAGAAATATAATCAAGTTAATTCACTGCAAGGCAAATTCAGTACCTAAAGGGCCCCCATGTTAAATACAGCACTGACCTTTACCGGCTGATTACACAAAGACGACACAATTAGATTAGTCCAAGACAAAAGGTCAAGCACATTCACACTGTGACCATTTTATACTACCTTTTGAGGGGGGGGGAAATTTACATCCCAGCTGGAGGGGTGTCTTGGAGAGGAGCGAAATGGGGCCGCTGTACCATGTTCTGCCTGGCTCAGATATGTTTGGAGAGTCAAGCAGGGCCTGGCACTGTGCTTGCCCAGAACCCGGCCAATGTGGCAGTGAGAGAGACAAGCAGCCTGTGACCCACAGCCAGCTTTTCCAAGGATGGGCTGACCTGAGTGGAGGCCGTGTGTTGACGATGCTCCGTGCCCTGCCCACAACCAGCAGGAGCCTACCCAGTGCCTCTCACTGAGCATCATGGCTAAAATTGGCCTCTGGAAGATAAATGGGTTGGGATGAGCTTCGAGAAGAGCTGGGGTAGGTGCTGGCTGGTGAGGTGTGTGGATGTGTGTCCTGGGTTCGGGGTTATCCCTGCAGGAGGTGGGCGACACCTTGCCCTTCCTCTCACCAGGTTTAACCCTGCCACGCCAGCCTTGAGCTCCCCAGTTCAAGTGTGTTGCTTTGCCACTGAGCTGCTGGGGGCTCTTGGGGGAATCATTTAATCGCCCTGCTTCAAATTCCTCTGGGTTGGAGAATCCCTTTGTGCTGTCTAGCACTGCCCATCCATGGCACTCCACATGTTGGATTAAGCATGGATTAGTTTAGCCTCCAAACCAGCTGCTCCCCTGAAGCCAGATTTGCTTCCCTAGAGAGAAGTATCTTGCTCCAGATGTTGGAGGGAGTGAGTGGCAAAGCCAGGAATAGGACTAAGGAGTCCTGACTCCTGAGCCCTGCCTGGCATGCCTGGGTTCCTTCCTAGGAATTGGAACGGATGGGCAAAGGCACAATGGGGTCTTGAGATACTGTTTGTGGCAACATCTGGCTGCCTCCATCCCCCTTGTCCAGCAGTGGGGATGGAGGCATCTCAGAAGGGTGTTAGGGGAGGTCTTGGCAATGAGACCCCGTGGGGCAGTGGGAAGCTGGGTACCAGTCTGCCTCACCGTGTCCACCGCATCCCGGCTGCCCTGGCTGCCTGTCCACCCTCCCCGAGGCACTGCGCTCCCGTCGCTGACCATTAAAGCCAAGCTGGGATCCCCCCAGTGCCGTCTGCCGCTGACCCTGGTAGGGGCTTTACTCGGGGCCTTTGGGAGGTGAAAGGTGAGCCGAACTCAGAACAAATTAGTTCCAAGCAGAAGTTCAGCCAGTTACTCCAGATTGGATCCTTTGATTTCCGCAACTCAGACTCCACTCAGTGATCTGTAATGAGTGACTCTCAGAAATCCTCACATTGCAGCACTTTGTTCCTGAGCTCACAAGTCAGCCCATTAATGGGTAAAGGAAAGGACCTTGAGTCTAAGAAGTCTCGGGTTCAGAGTCAGAATTATTTGACTTTTAAGCTTCCTTTATCTGAACTCCTGCTGACTTCTTGTTTTCTGAGCCTGTTTGAAAGCTAGAAGTTACATTGTTAAGATCAAACATTCTCTCTTTCCAGATGGAGTTACAATATCTGTCTTTTATATATATATTTTAATATATATAGTGTATATATACCAGGGTGTATATATAGACCTCTCCTTTTTTTTTTAATCGTTCTTTCCATTAAAAGAAACTAGACTTGTAAGCTCTTGTAAATTATAATGTAAAACATTTTTTTTAACCAGACAGTTCCCAATTTTGCCCAAGGCAACTGGAATAGCTGCGCCACAGAAGGCAATAGGAAGGTGATTAATATGAATTTGTGACATATTTGAAAGATGGGTCTTTTGCCATATAAAGATTATCAAACACATGTGCTCTTCCCCATTAATTCCACAGCCCTCCCAGGGAAGCCACAAAGCCCAGCTCCTTTGTTTCCAGGGTGGGTTTTTTGTTTTTTTAAATGTACCTTTCGGTCCCCTTGATTACCACGGATTTGGTTTTTATAGGGCATCTGCTCGCACTGCTGCGTGGGTTCTCTGGCCCTTTTATTTCCCCGTTAATCGGATCCCGCGAAGGCAGCCGTGCCAGGGCCTCTGACAAAATCCGTGTGTGTGTTGTATTTAACTTTTAGCCGTGCAAATTCCATGCTCTGTTTGCCGTCCGCCCGGTGCCCAGCGGGAACTGGGGGCTGCCTTCCTGCTGGTGGTGGAGGCAGCAGGGCCTCCCACGACGAGCGCTGGGCTGGATCGGTTTGGAGAGCATGTTGTACAGCCCCTGGGTGCTTGCTGGCCTTCGGGGACATGGGGTGGCTGCAGGGACATGATCGCAGTCACTGCCTGTGGTGTGTTGTGCAAGGTGGAGCCCAGCCCCAGGGCTCCGGCATGGTGTGACCATACAGCACCCAGCACATGGGGTACCTGGTGCTTCTGGCATGCCTGTGGCACCCTGCCCGCAGAGTCCAGCTTGGAGTGCTTACAGACCACTGCATGGTCTTTAGAGCCTGTGCAATGCCTTGCAGAGAGGTTCCCTGCACTGAGGGCTGAGGGAATGTCCCCTGTTTGGTGTAAATGGTCCCATTTTTCCTATGGCTGGATTCAGCCCACACCTTGACTGTGAAGGGTGAGGACTGCCATAGCCCACCGGTCTCACTCCTGTGTGTTGGTGTGTGCTGCCCAGGAAAGAGGTGTTTTTTTTGAGAGGATGTGGTTCTCTGTCAGCCTCCTACTTTGCTCCTGGGCCACTTCACTGCAGGTCTGGATGGTGGAGCAGCACTTCCAGGCTCTGCCCTGTCACATGCTGAGCATCCATGGCATGGCTGGCTGTAGTGCGGAGCTGCTCTGCCCCTCTCTCGAGGCTATGCTCCTAATGGCTTGTTGCATCCTAGCTTGCTCAGTCAGGGTCCTGGGGCCACTGTGTTGCCACAGAGCTCAGCCCCTTTCTCCTGCTCCCTCCCAGACCCTGTGCCAAGAAGGTGACCATCCCAAAGGCCTGTCCCAGAGCCCCCGGACATGCTGTCCCTGGCATTCACCATCAGGCCCAGCTCCTGCTGCCCTGCCAAAGGCAGGCAGACACCTCTGGCTCCAGTCTGCAGTGAGGTCCCTGCACCCCATGGTATGCAGGGCTTTGGAGGGGCTGCAGGGTTGCTGAAGTCAGCAATGGGAGCCTGGGTTTGTGCAATGCCCACTGTGGGTACCATGGCCCTGCTGTGAGCCCCACTGCTGCTGCCCACCCCACGTCCCCTTCACCTGCCTTTCAAGTGTAACTGGCGATCGATCTGCCGTGACAACGTCCTCTGAGTCACATTCTCGCCTGCAGGAGGAAAGGGCAAAGGCCAAGTTCTTAGTTTTCATAGAAAACTAATTAGACGACTCCATCGAAAATGGGTCAATAAAGCTGATCAGGGGCTGCTCAGAGGGAGCCATTAAAACCCCTGTGACCTTTGCTGGAGCGAGTGGGCTGGGGCTGCCCCTTCCCTCTGGGATCTGCCCATTCCGTGCCAGCTGGACAGCTGAGTCCCTGTCCCACCGCAGCACCAGGCAGGTCCCTTGGGCACGTGGATGTGATGGTGGTTCCTGCCTGGCCTGGGTATGGCTCCTGTGCATCATGGAGCTGCTGCTTGCACTGGCAGAACCATGCTGCCTGCAGCAGGGATGCTCTGTGATAGCAGCTATGTGGGCACAGTGTACCGGGTTGCAGGGTGAGGTGACAGGTGCCAGTAGGATGTGGTGGTGGCACCCATTGGTGCAGCCCTGTTGGGACAGGCTGGTGGCATCCCCTTGGTGGCTGTCCTGGGGTACAAGCAAACAAGTGGTGGGAGAGGCTGCTGGGAAGTGTTCCCAGTATCAGGGAATCCAGACCTCCCATTCACAGCTAAAAAGCTTGTAGGGAGCATGGACATATGGGGGTGCTGTATCCCAGAAAGGACAGCCCCATCCATGGGGCACCCAAGCAATACACACCTCTGCATCTGCTCCCCCCCTGTACACACTCGCACATGGATGGGCACAGCCCGGGCTCCTTTACCCCCAAACTTTATTCATGTGGCACATTTACAGCAAGGATTGGAATAACTAGACAATGAAAATGCTGGGTTTGCATTATCGGTTGGTTTAACTGGAACACCACACACCATGCAGTCATGTACCGCCAAGTTCAGTGCCTGTATTGCCCTTCTGGCTGCCGTCACCGGCTTCGCTCCAGGCCATGCACGCACGGGCCCGGGGCTGCAGCCTCCCTGCTAGGTCAGCACCCGGACGAGGGCTCCATTCAGCAGGGCCCTGGGGCTGGGTGATAGGTGACACTTTGGCGGGGGGGGGACACGGGACACGACACGTGTGCCCTCAGCCTGCCCCATGGCTGCCCCCCAACCGCCCTGGCCGGCCGGGAGCGCACCCAGCCGGAGGGGATGTGCTCGGCAACTCTCTCAGGCAACAAGCCAGCTGCTGCTGAGCGTCCGCGGGGACCGGGGGGGGGCCGAGCCGCAGCTCGGGGTGGGAGGGGAGGGAGGCCGGATGGGGTCGGAGGGGAGCGGGACCGGGGGCACGGGGCAATTTGCAGCTCCCCCGCTCGGGTACCTGTGGGCCGGGGGCCAGCGCTCGCTGGCTCATCCACCGACGCGGTGCTGTGGCGGGCCCGTCCCCGGTGGAGCTGGGATCGGCCGGCGGGGCCGGGGCAGGGCTCGGGCATCCCACTGAGCCCTGCAAGAGGCACCAGCAGGAGGGACGGGGCCGGGGCTCCGCATGGATGCTGGCACCTCCCTCTTGCCGCTCGCCCGCTGGGCCCCTGCCCCACTGAAGGGAGCCCTCCGGGGCCCCGCAGCCCGCGGTGGGGCTGCCAAGGGGCTCTGCAGCGGAGAATACAGGCACTTCACCTTGAACATAAAGAGACGGATCGCGTTTGTCACATACAGGAGTCAGAGAGGGGTTAGTGTCGACTCAAAAAGGGGGGAGAGGCGCTCGGGGGAGAGGCGGGGGGGCTGGCAGGGAGGGCGAGGGGCCGTCTCGACACTGCTGAGCCTCCGTGAGCGCTGCCCGGGCGCAGGCATCGCTGCAGCAGCCATCGAGGCCTGGGAACATAAAACCAGAGAAAAGAAAGAAGAAGGGAAGGTAGGGACGGCCCATGCCGGGGAGGGGGGAGATGGAGGGGGGGGGGGATGCTCTGGCTACGGGGTGGGAGAGGGAGGATGGGGTGGGGTATGGAGGGAGGGACGGAAATGGGGAGCCAAAGAAAAAGAACTACGAGTCTAAAATGTGGTGCAAGCGCCCTACGCGGCTGTCCGCTAGCATGGCATAATGTCCGGAGCAGCCCAGAGAGGGAGTCACATCAGGTCTACACAGATTTGCCTTCCCATATATACAACCTCTACTGGAGTTAACAGCTGAAATTGAGATTTTTTGTGTCGGTTCCTCTGGCCTCGGTTGCCGTTTTGTTTTTAATGCTGGAGCCCGTCCTCCCCGCCTCGCCGGCGCCGGGCGCATGCAGCCCTTGCCTGGCTTGCCTTGGGGATCAAAAGGGTTTGGAGGTCTGCTTGAAGATGAAGCCTCTATGGGCCAGTGTCTTCATGATGTTGGCGATGTTCTTACAGTCATCTGCGGAGAGAGAGCACAGAGGTGCTGGGTTAAAGCCACCATCAGACCAGGACCTGTTGGATCAAGATCCCAGTTCCAACACTGTATCCACACCAGTCCAGGCGCTCTGTCCCAAGTGCCCTGCAGTGCTGTGGGGGGAGTGCGGGGTCCCCAGCTCTCCAGCACTGGTCACCTGCATCCCAGTATGGCCCCATGATGCACTGGGATGGATGCATGCCCAAGACCCAGAGGCCTGGCATTGCCCAGGCTGCAAGTGGATACATCCCTTCTCCCCATGGAGAGATGGTAGATTCAGAAGGCAGCACTCCTGCAAGACAAGCCCATGACAGTCTCTATCTCTTGGCCAGTGGCTGCTTCCCTGCAAGCCCAGTGCCAGCCTCCTGTTCCAGCACCCCTCTCCCTCAGGTGCAACGGCCAGCAAAGGGGCTGTCCCTGCACTGGGATGGGGACAGCAAGTGATGCTGGAGCTGCTCTCCACCAGCCAAGCCTGGTCCTCATGCAAGGGCTGTGTGGCACTGGGCTCTCGCTGCAGTTTGGGGTTGTCCCTGTCCCCACCAGAGCCAGCCCTTGGTGCTGCCCCATGCCCACCAGCCCCATGCTAAGTCAGACCACGGTCGAAGCGGGTGCCGAGGTCCATCCAGCAGCTCCATGACCACCAGAGCAAGGGGTGGCCGAGCAGCAGCCAGAAGGGGGAAGGCTCTGGCTGGTGTTATTTACCTGGGACTAAACTCAGGCACCGTTTGCTAAAATAGAAGCCGGGCTTAAATTGATTCCTAGTGTCTATATTTCATGTTGAAAATTGGCTTGTAAATCCATGTTTTGATCTATGAGGGCCGTCTCCTTAAGAAAAAGCAAGAGTAAATGTGTAATTTCTCCCTTGACAGCACACGGCGCAGAGGCGATCCTTCTTCCCGCTCCCCTCCGTTTCGGGACAGCTCCACTCGTTCCGATTACCACTCTTTCTTCCTCGCCCCACGCCTTGATGTCTCCATTTCATTACCGCCCGCCCATTTATCAAGCTGTTACCGTAAGGGTGACTTTGCCCACTTGCATGTGGCAGCGGGGCCCGGCTGACACGGGGAGAGGGTGCCCCGGGAAGGGGGGGAGCAGGCAGGGCCCCCCTCTCCCTGCCGCCGCTGGATGGATGTTGTGGTGGAGGGAAGGCTGCATCATTACTGATGTGTAAATGATAAAGAAGCCTCCACATCCATCTCCCAACTGTAAATCCAGGGAGTGCTTTATAATCAAGCTACAGCGATAATAATGTGAAATTAGGTCTCTC